ACTGCATATTAATCTGATAGATTAGATGTGATCAAAAGAAAATTTTTGAACTGGGAGAACAGCATTAGCTCTTATTTTCTCACAACCTTGAGCTACTTACAAATGGTCAGGATGAAATTCTCAACTTTCAACAAACTGTTTAGTGGTTAATATACTGGTGCAAGTTAAAGTTTCCATTTCTAGTGCCTGGATGAAGTTTGAATGAAGGAAGTAAGGAAACTTATCTTTTTTTCTATCATCTTAAAACATCCTCACAAAAACTCACACATTTTATTGATTGAAGCAGACTGACATTCAAACTTTTTGGAGAAAACTAAGACTGATTCATCCTTTGAGCACAATCAGAAAATTTAAATTGGATTAACACTTCCAAAAGAAAAGTATTAAATAACAAATGCAAGTTTTACCCTATATTATGCATGGTGTCAAGTGTACCCATTCTTACAAAATTTTCCACTGAAATTATTTTCTTGTACAAAAATTCAGCAAAAAATTCTTGCAAATTAAAAAAAAACTAGAATATGGGTGTGAAAATGGGAAAAAAATAATTCCCCAACTGTAATTCCAATATCAGAAGCTCCACCAGGCTGCATGTTATAACAGCTGATGTGCAGAAGCAACTGTAAGAGGCCACCACTTGAGTCAATGACACACAGGGGACCTATAGCAAGGCGAAAGCATATCTCACATTTCACAGCACAATACAAGTAAACCCCATTAATGGATCACAAAGACAGAGCTCACTGGTATATTTTGTGCTCAACATTCCCTTGTGGTACGTCCCAGACAAAACAAACTTCAGCGACCATCTTTCCAGTAAATGGTAGTCTTTTCCCCTACAAATGAAGTCTTTCTCTCTGCAAAACAGGTCTGCTTGACTACCTAATGCCAAGAAAACTTTAAAGCGTATGTCACCAAATGAAATGGGTAATGTGCTCAAAAGGATTTTGTCCGAAAGAACAAGATAGGAAGAGACGTCACGTCAAAGTTATATATATCTTTGTCTCTACTCACTTCCTATACTTATCATTACCTCCTACACCACAGAATATATTCTAGAGTATCTGACATAAAATACAGTAGCTTAATATTTTGTCTTTCTCCCACAGCAAGTCACTGTGTTTCTGTCAAAGAAAATAGGAGTGATATAATGGAAGTTAATATCAGTAGCTGTTTCACAAACAATTGTTTATAGAAAAATGTCTTAATTCCAATAAATCAATCAATCAATCAAACAAAAAAAAACTGATCTTTTATCTATCAACTTTCTGCAAGTCAAGAAATATCTCAATCCGGTTAACTTGAGGCATACCGAGATGGAAGAGATGTCTCTAGTTGTGATCAATGAGAAGGATATAAAGATATGCCTTCTAGACACTTCATCTACAATCCATTAGTGCTGATAAATTTGGTGGAAATCAAATGCCAGCTAAGCAAATATGGCTTAAATGACACATTTTCTCAGCAAACATCCTCATCAAGATGCTTTTAGATTGTTAGAACACTGTTTCCGTTAAGTTTGTGGTTGGAACAAAGTCACAGATTACATCATGATAAATGTACAGAACCCAACAAATCTCAAGGTAAAGAAGTTTCACTAAATTCTGAAAGGAGTGGATGTGTATGGTTTTAAAATCAAACACAGCACAGTAATATTTGTCTTCTATCATTCAAACATCACAAACATATTTATCTGATAATAAAAGAGTATCTGAAACACAAGTTAGAACTTATACAACACAAGAGATTTGTTGTCCAAGATAAACCCTTAACACATTTAAGTGAAATATACATTTAGTAAATAAGAACAAGAAAATGTTCCCTGAAGGATTTTGACACTCACCATACAATCAGGATTGGTTATTGAGAAGTTGGATATTTTCCTTTCTTATTTCATATTTCCTCTAATCAATCTTAATTATAATGTGACAGATTGTATTGAAAGGAGACTTGTGTACACATGATAACATGAATAAGTAAGATAAAAAAAAAAGTAGCCAACCAGTCAAGCTAAAAAAACAGGTTATCAATTTCAAAGTATTTTTATCATAACAACCTACCTACCAGCAATTTCTTCTTTTCAAATCAATCCTAAAATTTATCATGTACAGTTAAGAGCCAAGGGGAACTTACAAATGAAATTAAAGAACAATTCATTAGAAACTTCACATGTCTAAATCCAAAATGGCCACCACTCAGCCATCTGGATTTCAAAATCAGTCTCAAAACCAAAATATGAGCAAACATATGCCTGTAAATAGGGGGCTAACTCAACTCAGTTTATGATGATGATCTGTTTTTCTGAGAATGACAAGGCAGATTCCAAATTTTTTCAAACAGGGCCACTGGCATGTGATTTGGAAATTCAAATTAAACATTTATCAATTTCATCAAAATTATCAGTTGGTATTTCAAAATATGTAAATCATGTTCAGCATTCATGAACATCAATTAGTATTTAGTATTCTGATTCCAATATGTTTCCATACTGATTTCATGACCCAACAACATTCAATTGATCCTATTCTCATCTATTCTCATGGCAATCCTATTCTCATGGCGATCCTATTCTCATGGCAATCCTATTCTCATGGCAATGTCATTCCTTGATGATACTGTAAGTCTTATGCATCTCAAATGGTCAGAATTATACAGAATACATACGTATGTTAGCATGTGGTAGGTAGCACACACAATGAATGAAAGATTTGATGTAATTCATAAATAATCTTATAGATGAAAAAATGTTGTTCCCATATATTGTTCCTTCTTGTTGGGCCTTTGGATTTTTGCATTGAAATGTTTTGTTTATAGCTTTCCTGTGTAAACATTAATTTCCTAATTTTTTTTTTTTTTTGCATTTAACTGTTTAATCTAGGGGCCTATGTAGTCTATAGTAGAATTCATCAATAAATATTATCTAACCCAGCTAACAACACTACTTTAAGATTTCTTTCTTGCATGATTTACCTAGCGAATTTCACAATTGCAAAAATTAATTGCCGAGAATTAAAACACAGATTCTGTAGACAATAAACACTAGATAGCTAACATTTGGTGTTTTATAAAGTAACTATTTACCTAATGCATACTTTATCCTATATCTATGTCTAAAACAGATACACCTATAAGATTTTTCGTAAATATCAGGAATTATTCAATTCAATGTAAAGACACTTTAGTCCCTTGAATGTTTGATTTTGAGGAGATTGTGTTTTGCCTCACTAAAACACTCCAGTAGAGATCTTTGTTACCTTTATTGTGGATGCCATGCCAGATTTTAGGTGACTCTGACCTTCATATTGCTACCTAAACAAAAGTCAATGAGATGGGTTTATTTCTTTTGTACCATTTGTTGGTCAAATGTCCAAAGTCATTCTGACATATGAACAGGTCACTACTGACTTGGTTCCCTCTGAACCCAGCAGTAAAGTCACCTGTTGTGGCAAAATTAGGGACTGCATATGGGGTTCCCTACACAATTTAAACGAAGGTCGTTGTGCACTCAGAATTTAACAATGATGAATTCACAAAAGATTGTAGCCGTGAATGATAGCTGGTTTATAGTATATGGTTACCAAAACATAGCAATGATACCATTATCATTGCTACCAAACTAACTATTGGACTGGAATTTAAATTCATCTAGACTAGAATAATTTTCTATTGAAGACTGACACCAAGTGACAAAGTTCATTTGTCAAGTCTCAGTTAATATATCCCACTAATTAACCTTTTAAGAATATCCACTGTTTTAAATGATGCGTATGATGTGTTATGAAGGTTATAAATGCTACTTTCTCCTGTAGTCTCCCAGTAAATAAATCCACATTACCATTCATTTCATTTGTGTAGATTTTGCTTTTGTTTTTGTCTTCAGATCTTCATTTGGGCAATTCAAACTTGAAAGAAATGTCTTCTAAGAAAATCTTATTGCATTATTGCATACTAAAATTAATTCATGACCATAGAAACATAACGACCTGTAACCTATAATATACTATGTAAACTGAATATTGACAGGTCGACTGACTGCAGCTCAATCACCATGCTTAATATAATTGATTCAAGGTCACACTGATGCTTAAAGCATTTAAAGCATTTAAATGAAACTGTGATCACTAAACAAGAATCAAACCGATTATGTCGATGGACTTTCAAGAAGATCTTTTGAGAGTTTTGGAAGAAAAGATCACAAACAATAGTTACCAGACAGATTGATACTAATGGATTGATAGACAGACCATAGACAAAAAGCGATTTGATAATATATCATTTAAGCTTGCATAATGTGGCAATATTCAATGGAAGGAAACAAGTAGCTAGAGCTGATATTATGACCAACAAGCATGACAAAGGAGAATTAGATAGCAACACCCACGATTTCAATATCAATGTATTAGCCAGGATACACATACAGCAGATGTCACTGATGACTGAGGTTACATGACAACATGGGGAAAAAGCAGTTTAGATATGATGGGATGCACCTCAACACTGGTATTAGTAGTAAAATCAACTTTAAAGTTCTATTTCTCATTTCTAACACCTTCCTACTCCAACCCCTCAATAAATATGTCTTCAACTCTCTTTAATATATTTTCTTTCACTTGCATTGTCAATGAGTTGAACAACTGACATGTACAACAATAGCTAATACAAAAGTTACTATTTCTTAATTTTCAAACTTTAATTGACACAAGTTGTGGTTAGCCTAATTAACACACAAATATCTATTAACTTCACTGAGTGCTTTTTAGTATCTGAATAACTTTGAATAACTGTTTCAACAGCATTTTCAAACATAATTTGTTGAAGGTGACATTACCTACATGGTACTTACTTAGTACTCACAAAAATCTTGAAATGCTAACAAAGAGTATAATATAATGACTTAAAAAAAAAGGAGATAACAAATGATGTTATACCTCACTCTCTATTGTCCTAAACTCAGGGATCCTTCTGACACAGACTGGTCAATGGTATCTATTCTCACTCACCTTTAAATCCCTGTGGACTATTCCATGTTGGTGACAATAGTTAACACTCTCTAAAATTTGCTGCATGCAGTGACTGAAATATGAAAACAAAGAAACGATCCTAAAATATACACTAAATATTGTGTCATTAGTGGACTAAGGCCATACAAACACACTTTTTACTGTTAATCTAAAGGATCCTACCATACAATCCTTTTATTTAGTATTCCAAAAATACTCCATACTGTATTTAGCTGGCTAATGATCAAATGACATATAAACCACACAATGTATTCTGTAGATGGGCCAGACATTCTGTTGAGGGATTAAATTTAACCTTCTGTACTGCCTGTGGACGGACTAAATTTAGCTTTCCATACTGCCTGTGGATGGACTAAATTTCACTTCAAGAATTGCCTGCAGATATACTAAATTAAACATTTTATACTACCTCTACATGGACTAAATTTAACTTTCCCTATTGCCTCTAGACTGAATAATTAAACTTCCCGTAATGTCTATAGTTGGCTTATGTATTACCTGTAGAGGGACTAAATAAAACCTTCATACACCTTAAAGATGGACTAAATCTATCTGCCTGTACTGCCTGTGGACGGACTAAATTTAACTTTCCATACCGCCTGTGGATGGACTAAATCAAACTTCCTGTACTGCCTGTAGATAGACTAAATCAAACTTCCTGTAATTCCTATGGACAGACTAAATTTAACTTTCCCTACTGCCTGTTGACAGAATCACTTTTTAAAATCTGCTTGCTGACATAGATGGTCTAATATTCAAAGTACCGCCTGGAAATCCTATCCCTCTTAACTCAAGATATAATGTCTTCCTTATTTATTTAGTCAACTAGTTTACAATCATTCACAGTTTTTCCTAGTGATGTTTCCATAGACACTCAAAAACTTCCTCACTCAAAAGTCCTTTTCACTCAATATTGTAATTATATGTTGGAGAAAATACTGAGACTTCTTTAACAAACCTGATTAGTAGTACATACTACAAAGATATTGACTAGGTTATTGTTTAAGTGTAGAATATTTTTGGTTTCTGGTATTTAGATCTCAGCTATGAAGCACCAAGGAGCATTTTTTCAGACAGAACTGTTCTATGTATAAATATAATAAGCCATGCACAAAAGGACTGTATGAGAGACAATATGGATGAGTACTGCACAGAATTTAGGCTTAGCTGACCAGGCGGAGCAAACCGTCAGTGGACTATAGCTACTGATAACACTGGCGAGCCAACTGACCACAGACTACTGACAAATCACTAGGCAGGCAGATGACTGACAGCCAAACTTCACTCAGAGAAAAGTCAGCTCACCCACCTTTAAGTCACGATGGATTACAACATGATGATGACAATGGTTTACACCTTCTAAGATTTGCTGAATACAGTGACTGAAAAGTGGAAATGTTTAATTCACTCACACATGCACATAATTTTATTGTCATTGCACCACATTGTTTATTTTTGAATCAAAACAATTACCAAATGTTACATTTATCTCAGCATGCAGGTGACTGTATTTTCTGCTCACCAATTGAAGTTTTTGTTGTACCTTACAGCTGAGATTGCTTCAGTCCATCTCTTGTTTTTCAGCGATTTTTTATGTTGTACCCACAACTTTATCTTTTTTCAGCTTGTTGTATCCTTTAAAGTTAGTTTCAGCTCATATGCATTTCTGTTTTTACCCTACATTTACATTTACTTGCCCACTTTTTCTGTAATCCTGCCTCCTATTGCTGTTTTATCTGCCCCCTTGTCCACTGTTTGATTTAGTTCCTATGTATTGTTGCTTTCGATCACATGCATTAACACATGGCTTTTTAAACCCCAACTTCTGTTATTTTTATGCTATTAATGGCCTTGTAGTTTGTTTCAGCTTGTGTAATGTTGTTTTTTTATCCTAGTCCTACCTACTTGCTTTCAGTTTACCCTTCCTATTTGCTCATAGTGTGTTTCAGCCCACCTGTCATTTTTTGATCCCACACAATGATTCCTAGTTTGTTTCAGCCCATCTATTGTTGCTTTGATCCTGTCCACTTGCTAAATTGACTTTCAGCCTACTTATTATTGCTTTGATTCCTCTCATTTCTTTTAAAAATCTTGCCCATTGGCTCATAGTTTGTTTCAGTCTACCTACTGCTGTTTTTGATTCAACCTATTTGTTCTGTTTGTTCCAGCTCATCTGTTGGGGTTATTTTTTATCCTAGTCCTACACACTTGCTCATAAATTGTTTCAGCCCACCTACTTTATTGTATAGAATCTGAATTTTCACAAAAGTTCAAACCGGTATGAAGTAACTGAAGTAAAAAATCAATTAAATCCATGAACAATAAATTAACAAGTTTAGAAATTCTCACATTCTGTCAGTATCATTAAAATGATTACAAGTTTATTGATGATCTGGAAGAGCAAGTTCCCCTTGGAGTCTGAGATGATAGTGTTATCTTACTCTGGAGGATTAGGTACACACTTCCCTATAATGACATCTACTTTAGAATATAATACTGTAATTGTGCTTATTTCCACTGGGGGTTAATTTCACGACTTCAATAAGCAAACTGTACATACAAGGTCAATTTCAAGATCAATGAAGCTTTGCATATCTAATGTATATTTTGATAAGTAAGAAATATGTCACAAATAAATGCATGGAAGAAATTTACGCAGCTAAATTACTTCTGCATATTTAGTGTAAATTCCCCCATAAGTAAATTTCCATCTTTATAGCATGTGACAGCTTCTAGTTCAATATTTCACAACTCCCTCAGCATATCTTTATACATGCTGTACATGGAAACTTTAATCATATCAAAAGTTCAGGTTGATGGCTCTTAAGGATATTTCCCTTTAATATATTCCCTTGCTAAATTAAATGTTTTCCCTTGGTACCCTACACAACTATCTGTTGATGTCCTGATCCCAACTGAGTTTGGTGTCCATGCTCAATTCAAACAATTTCATAAGCCAAACTAAATCTATTTGAACCAAGTGCTGAATATAGATTCTATGTAACAATCAATAGGACACACTCCTTACTTTGGTGGCATGAGTATAGAAAATGCAAGGATATGGAAATTCATAAACCCTCATCTATCATCAAAATAAATATCTTGCTGAAATAGATTTTGAAAGTTCTGGATGTTTTATTAATGACAATAACAAAATCAATAAGAAGTTAGTTGAATGTTGATCACTGCTAGCCATTTATATGCAGTAAAAGGCATTTTAAACAGAGATATTGGATTTTGGTAGCTTTGATGAGTTATCTGCAAATGAATCCAAAACCAAATTTCACTGCTTGAAACCTATAAAATGTCTTTTAACAGTGCATGCCCCAAAAATTTTCAAAAAATCACTAAAATGAATTGCTTCTGATCTCAATCAAGCATGTTATTTATTTCAATATCAAGCATTTGAATAACTTCCAAAAAAATCAATCTAAAATAATGCCTCTATTAACATCAAACTCTTCTGCTTTCCTCAATGCTTCTCTTGATTACAGGAAACTTTCTATCTCCCATATTTTTGTTTAGACTCTCCTCTACAGAGTAAGATAATCCTAATATTTTATCTCCCCTTTAATGTGTAAGATATTCCTAGTATTTAATGTCCCTTTTACAGAGTAAGACATTCCTGGTATTTAATGTCCCCTTTACAGAGTAAGATATTCCTGGTATTTAATGTCCCCTTTACAGAGTAAGATATTCCTAGTATTTAATGTCCCCTTTACAGAGTAAGATATTCCTGGTATTTAATGTCCCCTTTACAGAGTAAGATATTCCTGGTATTTAATGTCCCCTTTACAGAGTAAGATATTCCTGGTATTTAATGTCCCCTTTACAGAGTAAGATATTCCTGATTTAATGTCCCCTTTATTCCTGGTATTTAATGTCCCCTTTACAGAGTAAGATATTCCTGGTATTTAATGTCCCCTTTACAGAGTAAGACATTCCTGGTATTTAATGTCCCCTTTACAGAGTAAGATATTCCTGGTATTTAATGTCCCCTTTACAGAGTAAGACATTCCTGGTATTTAATGTCCCCTTTACAGAGTAAGATATTCCTGGTATTTAATGTCCCCTTTACAGAGAAAGACATTCCTGGTATTTAATGTCCCCTTTACAGAGTAAGATATTCCTGGTATTTAATGTCCCTTTTACAGAGTAAGATATTCCTGGTATTTAATGTCCCCTTTACAGAGTAAGATATTCCTGGTATTTAATGTCCCCTTTACAGATATTCCTGGTATTTAATGTCCCCTTTACAGAGTAAGATATTCCTGGTATTTAATGTCCCCTTTACAGAGTAAGATATTCCTGGTATTTAATGTCCCCTTTACAGAGTAAGATATTCCTGGTATTTAATGTCCCCTTTACAGAGTAAGATATTCCTGGTATTTAATGTCCCCTTTACAGAGTAAGATATTCCTAGTATTTAATGTCCCCTTTACAGAGTAAGATATTCCTGGTATTTAATGTCCCCTTTATGTCAGAGTAAGATATTCCCTTTACAGAGTAAGATATTCCTGGTATTTAATGTCCCCTTTACAGAGTAAGATATTCCTGGTATTTAATGTCCCCTTTACAGAGTAAGATATTCCTGGTATTTAATGTCCCCTTTACAGAGTAAGATATTCCTGGTATTTAATGTCCCCTTTACAGAGTAAGATATTCCTTGTATTTAATGTCCCCTTTACAGAGTAAGATATTCCTGGTATTTAATGTCCCCTTTACAGAGTAAGATATTCCTGGTATTTAATGTCCCCTTTACAGAGTAAGACATTCCTGGTATTTAATGTCCCCTTTACAGAAAGATATTCCTGGTATTTAATGTCCCCTTTACACAGAGTATTTAATGTCCCCTTTACAGAGTAAGATATTCCTGGTATTTAATGTCCCCTTTACAGAGTAAGATATTCCTGGTATTTAATGTCCCCTTTACAGAGTAAGACATTCCTGGTATTTAATGTCCCCTTTACAGAGTAAGATATTCCTGGTATTTAATGTCCCCTTTACAGAGTAAGATATTCCTGGTATTTAATGTCCCCTTTACAGAGTAAGATATTCCTGGTATTTAATGTCCCCTTTAATGTGTAAGATATTCCTAGTATTTAATGTCCCCTTTACAGAGTAAGATATTCCTGGTAAGACAGAGTATTTCCTGGTATTTAATGTCCCCTTTACAGAGTAAGATATTCCTGGTATTTAATGTCCCCTTTACAGAGTAAGATATTCCTGGTATTTAATGTCCCCTTTACAGAGTAAGATATTCCTGGTATTTAATGTCCCCTTTACAGAGTAAGATATTCCTGGTATTTAATGTCCCCTTTACAGAGTAAGAAATTCCTGGTATTTAATGTCCCCTTTACAGAGTAAGATATTCCTGGTATTTAATGTCCCCTTTACAGAGTAAGATTTATTCCTGGTATTTAATGTCCCCTTTACAGAGTAAGATATTCCTGGTATTTAATGTCCCCTTTACAGAGTAAGATATTCCTGGTATTTAATGTCCCCTTTACAGAGTAAGATATTCCTGGTATTTAATGTCCCCTTTACAGAGTAAGATATTCCTGGTATTTAATGTCCCCTTTACAGAGTAAGATATTCCTGGTATTTAATGTCCCCTTTACAGAGTATTTAGATATTCCTGGTATTTAATGTCCCCTTTACAGAGTAAGATATTCCTGGTATTTAATGTCCCCTTTACAGAGTAAGATATTCCTGGTATTTAATGTCCCCTTTACAGAGTAAGATATTCCTGGTATTTAATGTCCCCTTTACAGAGTAAGATATTCCTGGTATTTAATGTCCCCTTTACAGAGTAAGATATTCCCCTTTACAGGTATTTAATGTCCCCTTTACAGAGTAAGATATTCCTGGTATTTAATGTCCCCTTTAGTAAGATATTCCTGGTATTTAATGTCCCCTTTACAGAGTAAGATATTCCTGGTATTTAATGTCCCCTTTACAGAGTAAGATATTCCTGGTATTTAATGTCCCCTTTACAGAGTAAGATATTCCTGGTATTTAATGTCCCCTTTACAGAGTAAGATATTCCTGGTATTTAATGTCCCCTTTACAGAGTAAGATATTCCTGGTATTTAATGTCCCCTTTACAGAGTAAGATATTCCTGGTATTTAATGTCCCCTTTACAGAGTAAGACATTCCTGGTATTTAATGTCCCCTTTACAGAGTAAGATATTCCTGGTATTTAATGTCCCCTTTACAGAGTAAGATATTCCTGGTATTTAATGTCCCCTTTACAGAGTAAGATATTCCTGGTATTCCCTTTTACAGAGTGGTATTTAATGTCCCCTTTACAGAGTAAGATATTCCTGGTATTTAATGTCCCCTTTACAGAGTAAGATATTCCTGGTATTTAATGTCCCCTTTACAGAGTAAGATATTCCTGGTATTTAATGTCCCCTTTACAGAGTAAGATATTCCTGGTATTTAATGTCCCTTTTACAGAGTAAGATATTCCTGGTATTTAATGTCCCTTTTACAGAGTAAGACATTCCTGGTATTTAATGTCCCTTTTACAGAGTAAGATATTCCTGGTATTTAATGTCCCCTTTACAGAGTAAGATATTCCTGGTATTTTATGTCCCCTTTACAGAGTAAGATATTCCTGGTATTTAATCTCTCCCTTACTGTGTAAGATATTTCTGATTTTGACCTTCCTTTTACTTTAAGATAATCCTGATATTAAAACTTGCCTTTTTCAGTGATTTCCTCCCAGTTTTTGTGTTTTTTATGATGGGCTTGTGTGTGCAACTAAACATGTGCATGCTTATTCCAGTATTATCCTGCTTACCTTGCATCTGCCTCACTGTAAAATTCCCTGGCTACAATGTCTTCAAACAATTCGCCTCCTGTTACCCTGAAATACAATTAATTCAACATGAAGTCAACACAACATGTTCTCTAGAGGAATATACAATAGATATTTTCCCCTCATATTTTCAGAAACAGAAACATTGCCACCTCTGGGTTTTAAATTGAATATATGGTAGTAATCTCATCAATGTGACCAGGATATCTGCTTTCAAGCTTTTGCAGAAGCCTCCTGAGAACTAGGAAAAGTGTCATGCTCAGCTATGTCAACATCGCACCAAGCCAGAGTCAGACAGTAGACCTGGCACAACATTAAACATCACAATCTCTCAACAGATAATTTTCAGAAGAAAAATCTATTATGTAAGTTCTATAAGGATTCCTCATTTACTTATCAAAACCCCTGATAGAAGCAACCCAATGAAAACTGCTTTAAAATATAAATCAACTCCAATTTTCCATCACCTGAACACCAAGAAAGTGATTGCTAAACCAAACACTATAATATGACTATACCAATCATTACAGCTATAACTACAGTGGGACTCCATCAATCACTACAGCTATAACTACAGTGTGACTCCACCAATCACTACAGCTATAACTACAGTGTGACTCCACCAATCACTACCGCTATAACTACAGTGTGACTCCACCAATCACTACCGCTATAACTACAGTGTGACTCCACCAGTCATTACAGCTATAACTACAGTGTGACTCCACCAATCATTACAGCTATAACTACAGTGTGACTCCACCAATCATTACAGCTATAACTACAGTGTGACTCCACCAATCATTACAGCTATAACTACAGTGGGACTCCACCAATCATTACAGCTATAACTACAGTGTGACTCCACCAATCATTACAGCTATAACTACAGTGGGACTCCATCAATCACTACAGCTATAACTACAGTGTGACTCCACCAATCATTACAGCTATAACTACAGTGTGACTCCACCAATCACTACAGCTATAACTACAGTGTGACTCCACCAATCACTACAGCTATAACTACAGTGACTCGCCAATAATTACAGCTATAACTACAGTGTGACTCGCCAATAATTACAGCTATAACTACAGTGGGACTCCACCAATCACTACAGCTATAACTACAGTGTGACTCCACCAATCACTACAGCTATAACTACAGTGTGACTCCACCAATCATTACAGCTATAACTACAGTGTGACTCCACCAATCATTACAGCTATAACTACAGTGGGACTCCATCAATCACTACAGCTATAACTACAGTGTGACTCCACCAATCATTACAGCTATAACTACAGTGTGACTCCACCAATCACTACAACTATAACTACAGTGACTCGCCAATAATTACAGCTATAACTACAGTGACTCGCCAATAATTACAGCTATAACTACAGTGGGACTCCACCAATCACTACAGCTATAACTACAGTGACTCGCCAATAATTACAGCTATAACTACAGTGTGACTCCACCAATCACTACAGCTATAACTACAGTGACTCGCCAATAATTACAGCTATAACTACAGTGACTCCACCAATAATTATAATTATAGTTACAGATGTAACTGTTTGTCTAGAATGAAACTGATGTGTTTTTTATTTAACACTGGCTTACCCAGACAAATGTACAGAAAATGTTACCATCAATCTATCACAGATCTAACATGACCTACCCATATTTATCATTCCACACAGTCCTGTCTGACCTTGTTTACACTGTCTCTATGAATGTATTATAATTTCATGTAAATGGGTGCTTTTTGTTGTGAATGTTTTATTCAAGCCAACAATATAATCACAATCTTTGTACCATGATAGGAAATATAACAACTGACCTTGGTTTCAGAAAATCAATAATATCTCATCAATCACAAACAAAAACCCTGACCTTATTAGTGCTGGGTTCAATAATGCCGATGCACCTCATGATGCATGTTAACAATAACAAATAGGAGGTCAGAATTAAGGGCTCAACACTGTTAATTAACTTAACAGGGTTTATCATGTGCCTTAGAATTCCTAAAAATTCACAAATTCACACAATAAGAATGTGAATATAGAAATGGTGAATAAATTTGTTGAAGAATGTGGATATTGAGTGATCATGCTACAGAATCTTTATTAGGAAATAATGTGTGTATATAGATTGTTGACATATATTGAATAAGAGGCCTAGCGGCCTTGACAGTCACCTGAGATATGCAATATTGAATATAAAGGATAAAGAGTAAGCAGTTTTCAAGTGTTGAGAAAAAAGAAATTGTGCATGCCATGAAAACTGTCATTCTATAGTAATAATTTTACACAGTTACTTCCAATGAGAATTAAACAATGTTAAATGCAAATTTGAGACTCTTGGGCCATAAAATTCACAATCTTGGTAAAGCACTTTAAGATCTTTCAATCCACGAAAAACATCTGATTCTATTATATCTGGGAGTTGAGCAGAAATTTTCTGAAATCCGACTCAGTTTAACCCCTTTTGGCCCTACCAAGCAGCCCCTGGGGGTCAGCCAGAATCAGTATAAGCATACCATCAAGCTATCATCCTTTGTTTATAATTTTAACCAAGTTTGAAATATTTCCAATGAAAATTAAACAAATATGCTCAAAAATATACTTTTCCTATGTAAGCTACAGTAAACTTTGAACTTGACCACTCCCCATGGGGAATTGTGAGACCCTGGGACCATTGAATTCACAATTTTGGTAAAGCACCTTAAGATGCTTCCATCCATAAAGAGCATTTGATTCTGACATATCTGGGTGTTGAGTTGATTTTTGAAATTTGAGTAAATTTGATACCTTTACCTCTGCCCTTCAGGCCTCTCCTGCAAGTTTACAGACACATGATGCTTGACAAAGGTGATCGTAAGTATCAAATACTGTGGGAGTAGAGGTCACATGATACATCCAGATAGATGAAGTTGAAGTCAAATAGTGTAGGTGTAATTGTAAATTAACACAGGACAGGTATTCTTGTAATATGTTACAAATTGGTTTTATTCCAATACAAACAAAGACAGGACACAGAACAAATATAATTGTACAGTATAAGGCAGGGCAGTGAACAGGCTGCTGGAATTTGATCAATAGCTGATGTTGCCATTCTGTACAAAAATTGTACAACTGCGAAAGACAAACATAAATGCAAATTTTAATACAAATTTAGAATTAGAAACATCAGAGCAAAACAATGAATTATACAGCATCATACAGCTGTTTCCTCCTTTAGTAATTACAGGACTTGTCAACTCATTTTTTACAAAATTAAACCTACACAAATAGGGCTCTTATAATCACAATAAATTTCTGAAAATCTAGAATACAGCAAACCTATTACTGACCACACAAGTACTGCATGTGTTATCCAACTATAACAGAATTTGGTCATGTGATCATTGTTGTGATGTCTATGTATCTTACTGTGACAACACTGACTGCAGACCAAGGGCTTCATAAACACACCTTTGTTCGGAAGCTAAATAAATATCTAAATATAGCATCTCTCGTCTTTTCAGATGTAAATATATGTAATGAATGCTTTAGCAAATAGCGTTATGGTTTTATTTTGATATTGCTGGTTAATCACAGCACTCCACAGAAAACACTGGTAGTATCAAGGTATGATTGCTATATAGATGCTCCATTACACCACACTAAAACTTAAAACATTTGTGACATAATCATTTTAACACATCTCAAGTATGATCCGCTTTGATTCCTTCACACGTTACATCCTCCTCCAGCCTGCCTAGAGCTGTATAAGAGATGTCCATTAACACCACACTATCTGTCACCCTTCCATCTTATGTCACTGGTGGGTGGGGTTCAAAATAGTGCCAAACACATGGCAACAAAGGGTTGAAACATTCAACAGTTAATTTACTGCTAATTAGGTAGTAAACTAACCAAGGAGATGTCAGTGCCTCTCCTTTAAGTACTTTATCACAGATCTTTTAACCAAACTGAAAACACTTCCACTAACTAATCAAAGTGAGGCAAATAGTCCAAATGAAGTTGCAACTATTGATAACAATAGACAAAATATTTGATGGAAGACACTGAAAAATCCATTTTACACACTGAACTCTTAAATTGTTAAAGACATGAACTAAATTCACGGTTAATCTGAAAATTATTAAAAGTTCCTGCCAAATGTCAAAATCTACCCAAACTAGCATAGAGTTGTTCATATCTCCAATTTTGTCATGATTAGTATTATACACTTTATAATATTTAGATAGTTTGGCTGCTGAAACACTTGTACTTCCTGAGAAATGGAGCTGTCAAGCAACGTGTGACAGTGATTTGAATGCCACCACTGATAGAGAAGTAATACATTAGTCTGGTGTCTGCACTTTCATTGCAGCCAGACAAAAAACATCAACCTCAAATAGAAATTGTCTCTTTTGTGATCATACCTATTAGCTGATCAAATTTGCCCGGTCCCAGCAGGTACCTCATAACAGATGAAAAATGTAACACAGACAGATCACCTAAGACTAAGCTGTACTGGACAGTTCATCCCATTTTATTTTCAAATGTAGTGACCTATTTCTAGATTAAGATCATGAGATACTGCGATGAAACCAAACTATGAGAGGACACACAGTCACTGAAACATATGGATTATATATATTGTCCTTGATGTAGACAATGTTTTTCACCACAAAACTTTTGAAGGACACCCAGATATCAGGCCCACACATATTCAATGTTTTCATCCAGCATTTAGGAAAGTGACTTGAACTGAAGTAGAAATTCTATTCATAAGTATTGCCATTAAATGTTATGCAGCACCATGGGACTTTTTTTTGCACTTTTCTGACAACAACATATGCTATTTTGACACCTAAAATGTACTTTATATGCATAACTTATCCCATCAAATATAAACACAGGAAGAAATCAGTCCTTTTCTTCATCACTTATCACCAATAAAGAAACATGAATTGCTGCTATGCACTATGTTTCATCACAGACCCACAATCTTTGTCATAACCAAGAAAATGCCTTCAGAATTAAACTTGACAGAGCAAGGAACAAGCATTGTACATACACAACAACTTATGGTCAGAAATTAAATTCACTTTACAATGTTATAATCAACAAGTGAAAGGTAAGCAACACAGGTACAACTGTCGACTTGTCAATTTGTGGCTAATTTCAGCGACTGAAGTAAAAAGTCAGACTGTTGAGACATGCTACCTCTTGCTAATGATTATGATGTTGATGTACACTTGCATGATGATTTTGATGTCCATGCTTTAAATATTTGTCAAGATGTAATCAACAAACAGTACATAAACATTTGAATGCATGAACATATGTCCACACAGGTAAAACAAACACTATATTCTTTGTTAAAGTTAAGGTGTTGATGTACACTTGCATGATGATTTTGATGTCCATGCTTTAAATATTTGTCAAGATGTAATCAACAAACAGTACATAAACATTTGAATGCATGAACATATGTCCACACAGGTAAAACAAACACTATATTCTTTGTTAAAGTTAAGGTATCAAAAGAGCTTATCATTATGGAGACATTGGGATTTTCAGCTAATGAGAATTTGAGCTAAGAACCACCTACAAAGAGCCTTAATTCTGTCAAAAAATTTTAAAAGAATTTACATAACCTGAGGCCTACAAATGTATGCTGATTCCAATTATAATCAGGATGTATTTTTCAGGTCACATTTTGTTTTGTAATGATGCAACTTGAGATTTTTCTTCATTATTACAGATCTATAAGTTTGAAAGTAATAACTGAATTCTGATTCAAACATATCTTATTGCCATTATTGTCAGCAACAGCATTGGGCACAAGTTATTACAACATTATCTAAACCTTTTCACAAAATAAATTACAATTACAGCATTGGTAATCCTTTGGATACTTACAAGTCAAACACTAGATAGTGAAATCCCTCGTCCTGTATACTATCATGTAACCGAACTGAAACAAACAAATCAACATTATTACCATAAACATACACATCAATAAATGAATTAAACAGTAAGTTTTAAGGACATAACTACATTTTAAATTCCTGATGGTATAAAAATGCATTTCAAAGTTAGAACACTAAATGCAATCAAAAACAAGAGGTCCCTGGGCCTTAACATTTCCTGAAGTGCTACCATTTTTCCTGTCTGTGGGACAATCATGTAAAGTATTTGCATAAAACAAAACAAATTTTTCGCTTTACAATCGTGTCACCATTGAAATAACTTACTATCATTTTCTAGTTAGTATTAATTCTAGTCATAATCTATTTAATAAAGAAAGTCCCAGCAGAGGGCTTATAGTAAAGCCACAACTCGCATGAATTTCTCACTCGCCCACAGGACCCAAGAAACCCCCTTCCTCAGTATTTTCACAAATTTCTGTCAATTAAGATTTTTTTCCCTAATTCAAGCATTTATTTCTAAGTTATTCTGACAAAAATTTTGGATTAATTTCCCATTACCTAATTGTCAATTATGAGATTCAGACAAACCATTACATTAACATCAAACATTAACAGTTCTAACTAAAGTATAAAAGACTCAATGCTGCAGATTAGTTCACTAGTTAGTAATAAAAATCATTTTAATCTGCATCCAAGATGCCCAGATTGAATTTCTGATCGACCCAAAAATTAAGAACCAGTTTTGGTTCAGGTAATCCTAAATACAGGATACACAGAACTGTGTTAAAGGGGAGACCTGAGGTGACATGTGTCCCGGGCCTGACATAGATATGTTTAGTCATGTCCCATGGGAAGAGTTCATTACCTTGAATTGTTTACCAACTCCTTCAACAAAATGTGCCAGTGTTTATTCAATATGACACAAAGGGCTAGTGAATTAACATATTAACCCAAACATTCCTGGACTCTGACCTGTAACCCATGTAGATAAGCAACACCTAAAGGTACTTTCCGTATTCTGGTCACCTTCACAGAAGTCAGGAACTGTATGCTGTGTTAACCTTTCAATAAGGATGGTAGGGTTGTGGCCATTTTTAAAATTCACAATGTGTGGGGGAAGTGAATGTATCTTCAACTCCACATGGTGTAGGGGAGGTAATATTGTGGGGAGGTAACACTATCTTCAACTCCATAAGGTATCAGGGCAGGTAATACTACTTTCAATTCTACATGCTGTAGGAAAGGTAATACTTTGGGGAGTTAAATACTATCTTTAACTCTACAAGGTGTGGGGGAGATAAACTATCTTTAACTCTACATGGTGTGGGGGAGGTAATACTATCTTTAACTCTACATGGTGTGGGGGAGGTAATACTATCTTTAACTCTACATGGTGTGGGGGAGGTAATACTATCTTTAACTCTACATGGTGTGGGGGAGGTAATACTATCTTTAACTCTACATGGTGTGGGGGAGGTAATACTATCTTTAACTCTACATGGTGTGGGGCTTTGGTCTATATTACACTGTAATCTGTGGTATTTACTAAGTGTTGTTCTGTACACTGTAAGAGACGTTTTGACATTTATTAAGCTTTGTTCTATATTACACTGTATGATATGGTGTGATTGTATGATATGGTGTGACTGTATGACAAGGTGTGACTGTATGACAGGGTGTGACTGTATGACATGGTGTGACTATGACAGGGTGTGACTGTATGACATGGTGTGATTGTATGATATGGTGCAACATTCACCAAGCTTTGTTCTATATTACACTGTATGATATGGTGTGACTGTATGATATGGTGTGACTGTATGACAAGGTGTGACTGTATGACAGGGTGTGACTGTATGACATGGTGTGACTATGACATGGTGTGACTGTATGACATGGTGTGACTATGACAGGGTGTGACTGTATGACATGGTGTGATTGTATGATATGGTGCAACATTCACCAAGCTTTGTTCTATATTACACTGTATGACATGGTGGGACTGTATGATATGGTGTGACTGTATGACAAGGTGTGACTGTATGACAGGGTGTGATTGTATGATATGGTGTGACTGTATGACAGGGTGTGACTGTATGATATGGTGTGACTGTATGATATGGTGTGACTGTATGACATGGTGTGATTGTATGACAGGGTGTGACTGTATGACAGGGTGTGACTGTATGACATGGTGTGATTGTATGATATGGTGTGACTGTATGACATGGTGTGACTGTATGATATGGTGCAACATTCACCAAGCTTTGTTCTATATCACACTGTATGATATGGTGTGACTGTATGACAGGGTGTGACTGTATGACATGGTGTGACTGTATGATATGGTGCAACATTCACCAAGCTTTGTTCTATATCACACTGTATGATATGGTGTGACTGTATGACATGGTGTGACTGTATGACATGGTGTGACTGTATGACATGGTGTGATTGTATGATATGGTGTGACTGTATGACATGGTGTGACTGTATGATATGGTGCAACATTCACCAAGCTTTGTTCTATATCACACGGTATGATATGGTGTGACTGTATGACATGGTGTGACTGTATGACATGGTGTGAATGTATCATATGGTGCAACATTCACCAAGCTTTGTTCTATATCACACAGTATGATATGGTGTGACTGTATGACATGGTGTGACTGTATGATATGGTGCAACATTCACCAAGCTTTGTTCTATATCACACTGTATGATATGGTGTGACTGTATGATATGGTGTGACTGTATGATATGGTGCAACATTCACCAAGCTTTGTTCTATATCACATGGTATGATATGGTGTGACTGTATGACATGGTGTGACTGTATGATATGGTGTGACTGTATGACATGGTGTGACTGTATGATATGGTGTGACTGTATGACAGGGTGTGACTGTATGACATGGTGTGATTGTATGATATGGTGTGACTGTATGACATGGTGTGAATGTATGATATGGTGCAACATTCACCAAGCTTTGTTCTATATCACACAGTATGATATGGTGTGACTGTATGACATGGTGTGACTGTATGATATGGTGCAACATTCACCAAGCTTTGTTCTATATCACACTGTATGATATGGTGTGACTGTATGATATGGTGTGACTGTATGATATGGTGCAACATTCACCAAGCTTTGTTCTATATCACACGGTATGATATGATGTGACTGTATGATATGGTGTGACTGTATGACATGGTGTGACTGTATGATATGGTGCAACATTCACCAAGCTTTGTTCTATATCACACAGTATGATGTGGTGTGACTGTATGACATGGTGTGACTGTATGATATGGTGCAACATTCACCAAGCTTTGTTCTATATCACACAGTATGATATGGTGTGACTGTATGATATGGTGCAACATTCACCAAGCTTTGTTCTATATCACACAGTATGATATGGTGTGACTGTATGACATGGTGTGACTGTATGATATGGTGCAACATTCACCAAGCTTTGTTCTATATCACACAGTATGATATGGTGTGACTGTATGACACGGTGTGACTGTATGACAGGGTGTGACTGTATGATATGGTGCAACATTCACCAAGCTTTGTTCTATATCACACAATATGATATGGTGTGACATTTACTAATCAATATTACCCTGTAAGATATGGTATGTTTCTATATTTCAATGTAGGATTATATGACACAGATATAGCAGCCTTCCTTTAATGTGGATTGTAATGTTGACAAGAAGTTGTTACTTTGCTGGTTTGTATTGATAGTAAACAACCCCAGAGGATGAAACAAACTGTAATTGCACATTGATATATCCTCTACACAAACCACACCTAACAAGATTGGATTCGGGTTGTAAGGGATGTTGGAATGATAATAACAAGGCTGACCTTAGGGATAATGACACCTACAATGTAATCGGTGTTCCTAAGAACAGGATTGAGGGATGAGTAATATATACAATAATCTTTTAGCCATTTCCAATATTTGACCAATCAATGACTATTATTCAAAGAACGTCAGTGAGTAATCTTTTTGTTGGAGTCTGACATCAATCATGACAATGAAATGCTATACTGCCTTCCATGCAGTAACTGAGTAAGGATGATAAATAAGATATCCAAGGACTATAACCTATTTACATAACATTTTTTTTAACTTCTGCAGTTGTCAATTAGTATAGACTTGGTCAATCAAAACCATATGCTGCTGATAAATAAATTAGGTTGTTTTCACAAGGTGCGCTCTGAAAGAATTATGAATTCTCACACATTGACCACAATGATATGTCAATAATGTCGGAGTTGATGACAATGGAACCATCACAAAGTCAAGACCAATTACTCCAGAACAAGAGGCCCAAGGGGTCTGCATGGCTCATCTAGCTATTCAGTCATTTGAAAAAAAAAGTTAATATATAACAAATAATTTCTGTAATAATTTCCCTATTGGGTTTCAGTAAAGTGGTCAAACAAATGTTTGATTCACCATTCACAAAAATTCCTGAAGACTAAACTTGTACAAACATTCATATCCTTGTATTTTTAAGAACTTGCATTTCCCCTATTGAGCCCCACATCTCTGACTGATACAAAATTAGGTGCTTTTCAACTTGGTGTCCTTCTAACCAAATCTGGACATAATCTAGGCATTTCCACAAAAGAATGATATTAAAGAACTTCTTCTATTTCCACTGTTCTTCCCCACCCCCAGAGGGCAGAGACATACAGTTTATAAGAAATAAATTCCCTTTCACCAAAATATACTTCAAACAATATGGGACAGAATCTTGATATTTCTACAGAAGAAGGATTTTAAAGAATTTGTTCTATTTCCCCCCATTGGAACCCACCAATCCCACCCCAGGGAACTGAGACCCTACATTTCTACAAAATGATTTACTTTCACTCCATAATGTTTCCGACCAAATTTGGACCATATCATTTCATTCCTGTAAGAGGAGTAAAATTTTAAAGAACTTGCAAATTTTCCCTTTTTGGCCCCATCCCTCAGGCCCCTGGAGCCAAAAACTAATATCCATCAATAGATCTCCTGGTTAATCCAAAGTGACTTTTAGTGCTCATTCAGAATGGACCTAAATCACCAGATATGTTATGTAACACTACAATTCTACAGCAGAAACGTTGCTTCGATTTGTCTAAATTTCTGCAGTGTCTGGGATACTTGATGTAACTAATAATTGAATTGAAACTCAAGCCTATTAAAATACCATATTTTCGAGATTAGAAGCCACAACTTCTTACAACTGATGTAACTTATATGTGGACGAAAACAAAAATCGTCAGAATGAAAAAAATATGTAGCAAATCAGTACATGATGGTACTGCCTTTTTTTCCAAGTACCTGCCCACCACATGTTATGACTAAAACAGACTGTCAAACCGTCAAATTTAATCGTTTAAAGAATGATATAAAGATTGCAATAAAAATAACATTCTCTTGGATTTAATCAATCATACAAAGTACCTTTCAATACAAATCACAATATGATACCTTCTTGACTTTCAAATTCTAGAATGACTGCCACGCTTGTTTATGATTTAAATGGCTTTGTGTAGATTATATGAGAAATAATATGGGACTATAAGATTTTTGTAAGCATGCAAGGGTCTTCACTAATTTTACAGTATACACTGATGGAGAGATTGTTTAGTCAACTATACGTAACGTCACGCTCTATATCTGTGCATAGACAATCTTTGAAGGCCCCAAGCCATACAAGTTCTATATTTTCAATTTCATGTATTTTGAAAGATAAAAAAAAAAATCAATATAATCAAGTCTTATCTGTGCATAGTTCATTGCTTTTGGAAAATAAGATTTTAAAATCACAGACAAATATCTGCTTATATACATGGTACAGAAGACTTTAAATATGACTGACATTGATGTGACATAAAAAAACTATCCTTGCTTGACATGTAAGGAAGGTTACAATAACATGTGAATGTGTACAATGCAGCACTGACTGAGTTTCTTGAATGTTGACTTTTCCTAAACTATTTCTTTTCTATTTTACATCATTGATGTTCATCCCAAGAAACTACTAGCCAAATATCATGATTCTAGGACTTTTGTTAATTTGAAGTTGTTTGCAGGTTTTAACAAATTTGACCCTTATAATCATAACCTTGAATATGAATCAAGGTCATTTCTTTCCTCAAACTATGTTGGGCTTCATCCCAAGAACCATCAAGATTATTGACCTTTTGATAACTCAGCAGAAGTCATTTAAACATTTCAACAAATCTGATTCTAGCTACTAGCCAGATATCATGACTATTTGACTTTTGGTTCTTTAGAAGAAGTTATGTAAAGGAAAGTTGACTGATGATGGATGGATGCCGCACCATAGCATAAGCTAAGCCTCCCTTGACAATATCATTGACATATAAACATATATTCAGATTATTTGACAACATTGACATACACACCTATTTTTGAATAGTTTGACAATAACATCGACATACATACCTATATTTGGATGTTTTAATAGTCTACATATTCTCGCCTCTCTTTCAAGCTTTTGATGATCTGAAAAAACAAAAAGAAATTGATGAAACATCATCTGTTTTATCTTCAGCAAAATCAACAAATAAATGAATTGATTTGCTGCATTGTCACCATGCAGCTTGTCTATACTCAAATATTTCATACATAGTTGTGAGCATATTATAGTTGCTAGAGTACAATTTCTGACAAATTGTTACAACCTTGGAGCTCTTCTGTCACACAACTACTAATACATCTAGCTACTTCAATCTAACTTACAACTCAGCTTTACTGTGTAGTAGCAGTCATGCAAAGTCAAGCATATTATGAATTGATTAAGGCAAGACACACAATCTTTTGTGTGGTAAAACAAGTATCAGTGGAATGGATCATGAATTAATGACAGCAACATAAACCTTAAATAATACATTTCTTTATGTAGGAATTCTGTCTCATGTGTCAGAGTAAAAATCCCATAATTTGGTATTCAAAGACTTACTGTAGCCTAAATACACCTCCAATGTATGTACAAATTACAATGACAGTCTCCTCCTACAATATACTGTAGAACTGCAATGATATACAGTCTCCTTACACAATGTAATGTAGACCTACATGACATAAGGAACAACCATGATATACAGTCTCCTTATACAATGTAATGTAGACCCACACGACATAAGGAACAACCATGATATACAGTCTCCTTACACAATGTAATGTAGACCTACACGACATAAGGAACAACCATGATATACAGTCTCCTTACACAATGTAATGTAGACCTACACGACATAAGGAACAACCATGATATACAGTCTCCTTATACAATGTAATGTAGACCCACACGACATAAGGAACAACCATGATATACAGTCTCCTTACACAATGTAATGTAGACCTACACGACATACGGAACAACCATGATATACAGTCTCCTTACACAATGTAATGTAGACCTACACGACATAAGGAACAACCATGATATACAGTCTCCTTACACAATGTAATGTAGACCTACACGACATAAGGAACAACCATGATATACAGTCTCCTTACACAATGTAATGTAGACCTACACGACATAAGGAACAACCATGATATACAGTCTCCTTATACAATGTAATGTAGACCCACACGACATAAGGAACAACCATGATATACAGTCTCCTTACACAATGTAATGTAGACCTACACGACATACGGAACAACCATGATATACAGTCTCCTTACACAATGTAATGTAGACCTACACGACATAAGGAACAACCATGATATACAGTCTCCTTATACAATGTAATGTAGACCTACACGACATAAGGAACAACCATGATATACAGTCTCCTTATACAATGTAATGTAGACCCACACGACATAAGGAACAACCATGATATACAGTCTCCTTACACAATGTAATGTAGACCTACACAACATAAGGAACAACCATGATATACAGTCTCCTTACACAATGTAATGTAGACCTACACGACATAAGGTACAACCATGATATACAGTCTCCTTACACAATGTAATGTAGACCTAAACGACATAAGGAACAACCATGATATACAGTCTCCTTACACAATGTCATGTAGACCTAAACTGGATATAAAGAACTGCAATGATAAACAGTCTCCTTACACAATGTACTGTAGAACTAGAGTAATACAGAGAATCACCATGATAAACAGTTCCCTAATACAATGTATTGTACACCTACATTTATATAAACAAGAGACCCACAAGCCTTCGGGGTCATCTGACTATAAAGACCTTTATATGAAATAGGCCAAATATGTCTAAAATAAAAATGTCATTATTCCAGACATATTGCTTGTTGAAAACATATGCTGAAGACCCTTGGCTTTCTGGTTATTGAGAAGAAGTTGCTTATGCATTTCAACACATTTGACCCAAGTGACCATGGCAGTAGGTCAAGGTGAACAAACAAGGTAGGACAAGAATCAGTTTTATGAAGCTTTATGTTTGCAAGCTAAATTCAAGGAAATGATACTAAAAAAATGCTGAAGTGGCATGTACAAGCACTTTCAAGCTGGACTTATATTGTAAATATGAACTTTATGACCTTTCAAACCAAAACTGCTATATGCATAGAGCATCTCCTCAAGGAAAGTCACTTTACAGAAACTTAACATGATTGACAAAAAGGCAATGGAAGTTATTATCTCAATATCAAGTACTATCGGTGTGGAAGCAGTGTGAGGTTTGAGGATAATGGACTCAAGGTAGTTCATCTCACAATTTATTTTTCTACTTGGCCTTTGACCAGCAGTTCTTTATTAATTTCACAGCTCCAGGTTGTGGACGTTGTTGATTGGTCTGCCAATGTAGAAAATGCTGACATGCACCAAACCTTAATGAAACTACAATATATTTGGACAAAAATAGTCTGGACAAAAACAGGTCTAAATAATTGAAAAAGAGAGAAGGTTTACTTTAACCAAATCGAACCAATGTTGGAACCTTCAGGAACCTTCATGCCAAATATCAATATCTTTGTGCAAAAGCTCAAGTCATAAGTCACTTCTTGAGTTAAAAATAGTAATCAAATTGGGGAAAAAAAAAATATAAGTCCATGATCAGGCCTTAACTTTGCACATCCTGTTTTATACTCCCAGTCAACAATACATATTGAATAAAGCAACAATACAATATGACGATTGATAGGACATATTTCAACAGGATTCTTGTCACACTGTACATAAAAGCCTTCTAGAGCACATGTAAGAATGAAATCAAAGCTTAATCAATACAGATCCAGCATCTGTTGTGACTGAGTAGGTCTATGTTACAGGCATGCCATCAGACAGTCAGTGCAAAAGGGCTTGTTAGGAAAACACATGGTGCATGTGCTAAACAGATTTACTACACAGCCTGCCTCAGCAACCTCTTTCTCAATGAAATTGGTGTCTTGAAAACATTGCTAAGTATGACACTTCTTGATGGCAGAAAGGTCACACTTCCACCTGCTAGGACAGAACATACCATGAGCTGTCAACAGGTGAAATAAGTCACACTACAAAATTAGAAGATAAACAGATATCTTAACCTTGAACGCTTCAATAAATCAGATGACACAGGCTAATTTTAAATTTTAATCAATGACATCTTTATGTAAGTGGAGCAGTTATAAGTTTTGTTTTATGACAGAAACTTAATAAATTTATTGTTAAAAGCATAATGTATTACCTATAGCGGAAAAATCTTGACAAACCAAATGTATGCAGTGTGAGTATGATAAGAGTTTAATTGCCCTACCTGACAACTGTTGACACCCACTCGGTTAGGTGTGCAATTATTGCAACATTTGTCAACTGTGAAACACCCACGCACTAACCACAATATATAAGCCTGTCTGACAGCTGCTATATATCAACACTCTCGCAAAACACAGAAATTTTTATCAAACCAAACAACAGTACAACCTGCAGTAATATCATCCGAAGTTTATATTCTAATGCTATCTTTTCCTCCATACATGACAATGTGTGAGAGAAATAAATTAAAATCATGATCAACTATTCAAAAAAAAAAGAAAAATTTTGCAATCATTATAATTCCAAATTCAAGTAGAATCCAGTATTTGGTTTCTTATGATAAAGACCTAACCTGAATTCTGTCACACAGAACCTAGCTAACAAGTGGTTTGGAATGTATTTAGAGATGATAATGGTTTGATGTCTAATACACCAGGTACAGAAGAAGGATGCTTTTATTTAATAACTTAGCATTTTAATCCAAGCTTACAACACTTGACCACAAAAATATTTCTTCTTCATGGAAACTTACAACAAACATTAACAAGAAAACATCAGTTTGATAAATGGCTATACATGCAGCTACTATGTAACCTTATTAAAGTCAGTTGTGTGTTACCAGCCCATGAACTGCCAACAGCATAGGAACATTGCCAGTTATGTAAACAGATATATTGCCTTACCTTATAACAGGATGAAAATTGAAAATGGTAAATAAAAGCATTGGACTGAATGTTGACGTTCCTGTATCATGAATACCAACTGGATAAAGGTTGGTACGCTTCATTGACTTGGCCCTTGATTTACCTGTTGGCATTCATATGTCCATAATGCATTTGCATTTATATGCCTACAAATGCCAACTGACAGCATTACAATGCTTATAAATGATTACTGATGGAGTAGACAGATTACTTCATCAATGAGTACCTTAAGCTTCAAACTAATACAAAATCATTAGTCCATACATAACTCGTGTATGAGGACAAAAATTATCTGAACCAAAGTGTGAACAACAGAAATATCTTGGGTTAGGTTATCAAACACACTGAAGGGACGGATGTTTTGCCATTTCATTGTGGAGGATATTGGTGAGACGACCTTGTGATAGTCGAATTCAGTCCTGAGTATAAAATCCTGCACCATAAATAATGAATGTGTTTTGTATGATGCTACATTGACCTCTCTGTCAACACAGCAGGCATGAGGTGAGCTAGGTTGTGCTTCATGCATTTTTACAGGATATTTTGCTAAAACACAAATCAAACTGCATTACAACCACTTTATGATTAAGTGACAGTGAAAAAGCGATAAATCATATGATTTTGCCTGTAGAAATATTGATTTTCTGGCTGACTAAGTAATCTGAATGTTGCAAGAGACAAAAATGCTTTTTTTTTCATTTAATTTACATTCATCATACAACTGCATACTGCTGTGAATGCACCAATGACATTTTTGTATTACAACTGTACACTGCTGTGACTATGTCAATGTCATTTTTTTTAATTATAACTACATAATATTGTGAATACACCCATGTTATTTTTTGTATTACAACTGCATACTGCTGTGAATGCACCAATGCCATTTTTGTATTACAACTGCATACTGCTGTGCATACACCAATGTCATTTTTTTAATTATAACTGTATAATATTGCGAATACACCCCTGCTATTTTTTGTATTTCAACTGCATACTGCTGTGAATGCACAATGCCATTTTTGTATTACAACTGCATACTGCTGTGAATACGCCAATG